AAGGAGTCGAGGAGAGAACTGAATTGGGCATTGGATATGGATCGGTTAGGAGGGCTGATGCAAGAGTGACCGGAAAGGAGAAGGTTTTTATCACGATAGCGGTGGACTGTAGGAAATCATGTATTGGTAATGGGAGTACGTGATGGGAGAGGGATTGGTGTACAATTACAGCAGTACCGGCATGTGCTTTTCCGTCAGGGTGGTCAGTACGATATGTCAGGTATTGTGGTATATTGAAGTGCTGTTTAGTGGTTAGTCGAGTTTCAGTAATTAGTGCCACATCAATGTTCTTGTCAAGTAGTAAAGTAGATAGTTCGTCTGTATGATTTCTAACACCATTCGCATTCCAAAGGAGAATGGATATGGGGTTAGGGATGTGAGTCATTTAAGGATTTTCCAAAGGAGGGATGAGGTGAGATACGAGATTCGTGAGGAGTGATATGAGTGGAGTAACAAGGGATTTGAAATCGATGAGGAAAGATGCTAACAAACTTGTGAGATCTGTTGCATTTGAAGGAGGAGGAATATGAGGAATTTGTTGTTGGTGGTTAGGTATATTAGGATGAAGAGGATTTTGAGGTTGGGTTTGAGGTTGTTGTTGTGGCAGGGCTTGACATTTATCGGAAAAGTCTTACCTCTAAGTAGTTGGGAGAATGATACATCATTTTTTACAATTCTGGAAGGCTCTCTCTCTCTTCTTGTTCTTAGTGCTTCATCTTGAATCCGGTTTTTCTGGTGTCTGGTTTTGAGATTCTTGTAAATTTGGCAGCCTTTGTAGTTGGCCAGGTGTCCCTCCAAGCATAGGGCACATACTGCTGGATCTTGTATAGGTTTGGTGCACTCTACAGATTTGTGCTGTTCACCGCACTTCACGCAACGCGGCAGATGGTGGCAATATGTCTTCGTGTGGCCATAGGTCTGACAATTATGGCACTGCACGATGTCTCTCTTGGGATATGGCTTCTCAACTTTCACCATTGTGTAGTATATTCTTGTGATATCATATATTTTTTCGATACCTGGTGATGGCTCCAAGTCCACGAAAAACAATGGTAGTGGGATCCTATTTCGTAATCCTGGCTGCTCCCTGTCCTCCTTCAAAACGTTTGTTACCTGGCGTACATTGAAACCAAGCGTCGTTAGTTCTTCTTTAATAACTTCAGTGGGGGTTGAGGAATGTAAATTTCTTATCACTACTCGTAAAGCTCTTTCCTGCCTCAGCTGGTAAGTGTGAAAATTCGCATTTGTTTCTGATAAGTACTTCACTATTTTTCGGTAGGCTTCTGCAGAATCAGGTGTTATTTTGGTGTCATTGGTCCTGTTAAGGCATGAATAACTGCCAGAGCAGATTTTATTTAGTTGGGTGCAGAACATCTGGAAATTTTTTATATTTTTCACAAATATCGGAGGAGGCTTTGGTTCTCTGGGTATTGCTGCAGACTCCATTACTTCTCTGTCATTTTGAAGCACTTGGTAGGGGTTTGGAGTAAAGAAAGGTGATTATTCAATCGAGAAAACAATATAAGAGAGATGTATAAAAAGAGATTAAGACAGAGAAGGGAGAGAAAGGAGAGAAAGGGAAATATAATGTAACAAAAAATGCATGAATAAGAAAGAATTGTTACAATTTATTTACTTTTTTAGGATCTTCTTACTTAGTTAATTCTGTTTATATAATTTATTGTTCTTAATATTTCAATGTACTTACTGTTTATTATTCCAATACGTTTATTCATCTTGTTTATAATTTTTATCTAAATATTATGTAATGAAATGTTATATTGTATCCGCCAAAAAGGGATGACATTAAAAATGCTATGTTTTGTGGTCTTAAAATTTTATTCAGGGTGCCACTGAATAATTATTGAGGACAATTATCCAGAATTATTTAATAAAAATGAATTAATAAAAGATTAGTTAAATATATTTGGTCCATGATTAATTAATTGGATTTCTTTTCACAAATTCTGGTTTGTGTTTATCGTGCTTTCTAATCACCTACATTTTACCTGTGATCATCATGATATAAATAGGTGGCAGAATTAAAATAAATTTTACTAAAAAACTTAATTTATTTCTATGCTTAATAAAGAATATATACAAATTATATTTACAAGAATTACAAATTATAGTTAAAAGAATCAATGAATTCAATAATTAACTGTGAAGGCATGATTCAGATGGACTGTTTTGAAAATTATATTGCCATAAAATATTCTAACATAAAAGTTTATTGTTGGGAACAAAACTTATCTATTGTATATGATCTTTATCCTATAATAATGTGGTCGTGCAGTTGGTAGATGTCATCACTGTATCTGCTAAGTTGAGATTATCTCGTCATGGTTCAAAGCTCTGCTAGGATCATCATGGTCTATGCAGGGCCAAGGCCTCAGCCCCCAAGCCAGAAGAAAACATAAGAAGACCTATCCTCAAGACCGGACATCAACATAAGACCTTTCCTCCAAGCTGGAGATCGACATAAGACCTCTCCTCTCCTCCTCTCCTCCACATAAGCCCTATTTTCTTCCTTCTCAGTAGATTTTATAGAAATATTCAGGGTGGGGCAAGAATGGTTCTCATTGGTTGAATTTTCGTAGCATAAGGGATGACCACGCCTCCAGGCCGTACGGCTGTTTCCTCTTTCTCGAAGGTGCTTCTCTTCCCTCCCTTGCTTAGACAAGCCTTCCGATCCTCTCTAAACATGCCCACGTAAGACCAGTGTCGGTCCTTTAGTGTTTTATTGTCCCTCAGAAAGGTTGTACTCCCTAGTGGGTTGCCACTCTCCCTCGGGTAACCGAACATGTGTTAGCAATCATTATTTAGAATGTATTTATACATTGGCAATAATTAAATATATTCCAAGTGTAGTCCTTACAATACATAGCAGTAACTTCCACAATTTTCTATATCCTTTTGTATCTTGTCCATTCTATTAATATTCCGTTGAAGTAAACTTTAAGAAATCCGGTCCGTGAAGCAAGGGCCCATCCAGTTATAAATTGGCAGTACTACAATGGCTGAACTTTTACTTTGGGCTGATAGAGCAGCCACCCACGAAGCCCCTTCACTATACTCCAGAATTTTCTTTTTTTTCCCCGTATAATTATTTTCTAAAGATTTTCCAAGAATTTGGCTTTGGTATTTCGTACTATCATCTTTGCTTGGTTTCTAACTCCTATGTACTTTCCAGAGTCCGAAGGATTTATCGTTTGAACGTATTTCTTCCTGGCCTTCTTCTTTTCGGCCACTGCTGCTTTAACCTAGTTGGTCCACCTACTTCATGATTCAGTCATCTTTATTTCACAAATTTCTCTTGCAGTTTCGTGTATGGCATTTTTCGTGTGTTTTGAAGATATTAGTTTTTTTTTTGTAGAAGCTCTCTCTCTATATTGGTTTTTCTTTGCATCATTTTGTAAACTATTGACATGGATCCTTTCTTATCGCTTTGCCATTGGTTTTCTTCCAAATACTATTTTGGTATGTGTAACCACTATTGTATAGTGGGTACTCAATTCTGCTCCTTTTATTACCTTTCCTTAGCTGGGTTGATTAATCATTATGTAAATAGGCAAACACAAAACGGTTCAGCCTCTTTTTCTCCTCTATTATTCAACCGATTTTCTTCCTTCTTTTTTTGATTAATAGCTATTGACGAGATTTAGTGTTATCAATAAATAAAAATATGAAATAGTATGTAAATGAAAATATAAATGCTAGTTTGTTCAAAACAGCTAGTTCTTCACCGATTTCTTTGAAATTTTTACACAACATTGCAATAATATTTAGAAGTGTTTTTGTATATGTTTCATTATCATCAGGCCTTTCCTTTTCTATAGGCTAAAGTCTTCCCCTTGAAACATTTATAATTTATGTATATACCTTTCTTTCCCGAAAACAACTGCATACATTTTTATGATAAATTCAGTATTTTATTTGTGAATAACTCAAAAAGTACACATTTTTTAAATGAAAATACCAATATTTATTTGAAAGTTTCCTACCTACAAAATAAAAAAAATAAAAAATCATGGAAATTGATAAGAATTATTCTTTTTTCTTTTTTTCCTGGGAAGTTGCTTTAGTTGCTTGGCAATAATAACTTCCAATTATTAACAATTCGAGTATATTTTAACATTACATGTTAACAGACTAATTAACGTTTCTGGACCTTTTATTCCCATCTCATTATTCCCATTTTAATAATAATAATAATGTGCTCCATCGTCAATTTTCTAATTTATGTTCTAAAATTTATCATCTAGAGCAACATCCTCCCTTTCACTATGGCAAAAACCCAATTATTGGTCAAAAGGAGGATGTTGCTCTAGATGATTAATTTTAGAACATAAATTAGAAAATTGACGATGGAGCACATTATTATTATTATTAAAATTAAGCCTTGCATCCACAAGAGTATTGGAATTGTAGTTCTGAAGATGGGAATAAAAGGTCCCGAAACATAAACTAGTCTGTTAACATGTAACGTTAAAATATACTCGAATTGTTAATAATTGGAAGTTATTATTGCCAAGCAACTAAAGATAAGAATTATCTTCGGAATGAAAGAATTTCTAGCAGCTGTAGGAGTAAAGTGGGTTCAAATATTTTCTTAAGGAGGAACAAAGTTTAGATTTGTATATTGCACCTCGATAAACCCTCAATTACCAATTTTCACTGGAATCTAAAAATAAAAATTACCTGTACTTTTATTTTATTACCAATCATCTTGTAAATATTTAATTTTATTTTATGGACACACCAACATATTCATTTATATTCTGTATTTTTAATTTGTTCTAAATGGAAACTAGTCCCAGAATAATAAAACTATTTTCTTTCATTCAAATTATATTAAAAACGACCAATTATTTTGGTCTGGTACTGGCAGGAATATTTATAGTAGAATCAATTAAAGTGTAGAATTAATTATAACTATTTAAGAAAAATAAATATTTATATTTAACCAATTATAATTGTGTCCATATGTTTTTTTTTAGGAATTCGAGCTATTAAAATGCAATTTGAGCAGTGCTATGGTGTTTTTTTCTGGAGATTTGCCACAAAGTTAAAAATAACATTTTTATGTTTTTATATTATGGCTACCTATTTAAAATTACTCCTGCATACCACATATGTTTTTTAAATTGTGTAGCAGATTTTTATTCATTCATTTATTTGATTTTTTTTTGTGTAAAATATATTTTTAACTGTGAAATTATTTTTAAAAATTCCTTTTGGAATATTATTTTAAATTAATCTTTGTTTATTGTAAAATAAATTTTATAATAATAATAAATACATTTTTTTATCAAGAGTTACTTATTATTCATCATATTTTATTTTACAAAAAAATAAATATTTTCTCCCTGCATACGGTAACTCCCCTCCCCCACCAGGTGTCGGCACTTCACCCAGTTTTCGACACTTACTGTAGTTATTGAAGAATATTAATCATTGAATATGGTCTAAAGCTGGCGAAAGGCGTTCATATGAAGCATGAATTCCTCCTGCACTCACTAGCGGACGCCGCGCCTCCCCCTGGAGGCTGGAAAATTCCAAAAAACAGCTTTTTAAAGAAACGAGAAATAGAGGGAAAATTCATCCTCATATATGATGAATTTCCTAATATAATATAAAACAAATTATTATCATGAACAGCACTAGTGAATTCTGCTAGGGGGCGCATCTTCCCTTGGATGGTGAAAACAAAAATCCGAAAAAAGTGACAAAAAACACCTATTTAAAGAAAAGAGACATGTCGGGAAAATGCATCTCCATACACGAATTTCAAATTGTAATATAAAAAAAAAATTATTATCGCGACCAGCACCAGCGAATTCTGCTAGGGGGCGCCCCCTCCCTTGGATGGTGAAAAAAAAAACCAAATAACACTTATTTGAAGAAATGAGAAATATAGGAAAAATTCATCTTCATAGACGAATTTTCTAATGTAATATAAAAAAAAAAGTTATTATCGTGACCAGCACTAGCGAATTCTGCTAGGGGACGGCCCCTCCCTTGAAGGGTGAAAAAAAAACCCAAATTAAACCTATTTAAAGAAATGAGAAATATAGGAAAAATTCATCCTCATAGACGAATTTTCTAATGTAATATAAAAAAAAAGTTATTATCGTGACCAGAACTAGTGATTTCTTCCAGGGGGCGCGTCCCCCTCTCGATGTTAGAAAAATAATTCTGAAAAAAAGATTCAGAAAAGGACCCAGTTTCAATTGACCTGAACGCATTGCAACCCAGCAACTATAATCTCCTTGATGGATCCATGCGAATCATAAAACTGGTCACGATAATAATTTGTATATTTCTCATTAGAATGTGTTGTTCTTTTATTAAAATAACTGCTGTTGGGAACGATTTCATGAAGGAATATATTATAATTTGGACGCCGATTTGATCGGAATCGGAAACTAATCTGAGTTTTTTTTTCTTAGAGAACTCATTTCCATGCTGCAGCGCCATTTACAGTAATCTTTCTCAGATTTTGACAATATCGGTCAAAATTAGCGTTTATTGACCGTGGTTATCGATCATGTCATTTAATCAAATTATTAAGTTTAGCTACTCGTTCAACGCACAATTTAACGTTTTTTAATTTCTTGAAGAATCCGTTTTTCGCTTTGATGCACTGTTTAGTGGTAATACATGAAAAAAAGATCAGATAAATCTGGAACTTTCGGCTCAATAAAAATTTCTCTTGGTGATCCGTGTTAGCAATTTAGTTTTTTATATGTCTAAATCCAAATACATGGGGTCTTGTAAGTAGAAGAAAATATTTAAAGGAGTGATAGCAGAACTCAATAAATACGAAAAAGTTTATATAAACAATGGTTCGATTTTTAGCAGGAGAGTACGGAATGAAAGTTTTGTGATTTGTTATGTGTCACGTTTTTTGTTGAATAAATAGTGATAAAAAAAAATATTTAATTTAAGTAATTAATGATAGCTTCACTGAAAACTAGTCAAAATTTACTCTAAATAAAAATAAAGTTTGTTCTTTTAAAAGCATTTAAAGAGGACTTTTGAGCGGCTAAACTCAGCAAAGGAGTGGGAGGAAATGGGCAGTAGTGGGGTAACGGGTAGGGGTGGGGTGCGCCCCTCCCCGCTGAGAAACTTTCTGGATCCGCCACTGCCTGCACTTACATATTCTAGTTTCTGCCACTATTTAGACATAGAAAGATAAAAATAACTTTATTCTGAGAGTAATTCTCTTAAGAATAACAGCGAAATGCGGAAAAAAGCATCGGCGAGAGTCTATCTCCCTGCTTCAAACCCGTTCGAACTTCAAAAGCTTCAGATACTTCTCCTTGTATTATTACCCTGCATTTAGGATCATTTGTACACGCCTTCGTCAACCTCACTAATTCCCGGGAACACCCAGCTCAGTCATGATCTTCCAGAGACAGTTCTGTCAACGGAGTCATAGGCTGCTTTGAAGTCGACAAATGATGCGTTTACGTCCTGAGCTATTTCCCATCGTTTCTCAAGTACTTGTTTTATGATGAATATCTGATCTAGCGTACTTCTTCCTCTCCTAAATCCTGTTTGATGGTCGCCTATTATGTTTTAATAATACGGATATATCCGATTTAGTAGAATATTAGTCATTATTTTATAGGAAACGGGAAGAAGTGCTATGCCTCTGTAATTTCCACATTCGTACATGGAGCCCTTCTTAAGGATAGGACAGATGATCCCTGTGTTCCGTGTTTCTGGTATCCGTTCCTTCTCCCAATCTTCTGGATTAGATCTAACAGCTTGGCTCTGATGTCTTCTCCCCATCCTTGAACAATTATGATGGTAGGTTGTCTATCCCTGGAGCCTTTCTTCTTTAAGTGTAAGTGACCATTCTTCCCAAACATCGACCCACTTGAGGTCGAAAAAACAGATATATCTATATATATATATATCTATATATATATATATATATATATAGGTGCCTCTAGTGTAATGTAGAGATACATGGCACCATAATGTTAAATAAATAAAATATTTATAAAATAAAAATCACCTTTGACTGATTTCCTAACAATATATACATTGTTTAACATTATGGTGGCATGTACATTAGGCTAGAGGCACCATTCCATTGTAACGTTTGCAATTGTTTAAACAGTTTTATTTCTTTTATAAATTGTATTATTTGATGATTGAATGTATTGTCTTTACATAATAATGTTCTTAGATCATGCCCATTGATTCCAAGCCTTTTTCTGATTTCCTAGTGTAGTGGACAGTACGTCAATATGTGCTTGACAGTCAGTTGTCGGCAACTGGTACGCTTCGGCGGGGGTTTACCTTCTAGCAGGTAGCTGTGTTATTGTAGTGTGCTCGATTCTTAGCCTTGTTATTGTCACTACCTCTTTTCTTTTGCTGTGCACAATATCCCAGTGATGAGGTGTTTCTCTAACTGTTTTTAGTTTATTAGCTGTATCTACCCCGAGCCAGTTTCCATATCTACCCCATTCTATATGTTTTTTATTTTTTACAAAAGATTTAAAATCTGGTAAATGGACGAAAAGTCGTGGTACAAGAAAAAGGGGGCAAGTGTCAGCCTCTATGGCAGCAGTGTCAGCGAGAACGTTACCCTCTATACCTCCATGGCCGGGGATCCACATAAAATTTATGGTTTTGTACTTTGGTATGAACTGTATAAGTGAAATAATGTTTGATGTGATATAGTTGTTGTTAATGAAATTGCTATAACTGTTAGTTAATGCCGAAAGAGAATTAGAACATATTAAAAATTTATCGCTATTTATGTTATTGATTGCAGTGCAAGTTTTATGGCGACCAGTTCAACAGACTGTATGGAGGAAATATTAGGTTAATTTGCTGTCGGGCTTGTTCTGAACGCTCCAGTCGCTAATCTAATCATATCATTATGAAAAACATTTAATTTATTTAGTAAGCTGGAAGAGGCGCTACCATAAAGTATTGATCCATAGTTAATGGTTGGAAGAATCACTGTGCGATATATTTTTAGAAGTGTGGATCTATCACTACCATGGGTAGTATGAGACAGCTTCCTTAACAGATTCTGCTTGTTGTTTAATTTAGACAGGAGGTAGTCGATATGAGGTTTCCAAGTTAATCTACTGTCAAAAATTATACCTAGATAGGATAATGATGGAGCATTTTTTATAATTTGATTGTTAATGGCTATTGTAAGCTGTTGATTGCAGCTTGTATTCCGACAAGAATGTGAAGAAATTGTTTTAGTTGAGGAAAATTTGAATACCGATTTAAAGGCCCAATCTTGCAGTTTATCGGATGTTTTTTGTATAACCGTTTGACCAAAATTCAAGTTATTGCGTGAAAAATATATCAAAAGATCATCAACAAATAATGAAATATGTACTGGAGATAGTATGTGACTAACGATATTGTCCATTTCTATGTTAAAAAGGTTAGGGCCTAATACAGAGCCTTGAGGAACATTGTTAAAAAGATCAAAACTATTTGAAGTATTCCAAGCCTGACTTTAAATTTTCTATTTTGAATAAATTGTAACATATTACCACTGAAATTCCATTTAATGGAATGGATTGATGAGGGAACATTATTTTAGGAAGTTGAAAAGTTGATTTTGGACAAGGCGTTACAGCGGTTTTGAAAGGTTGGAAAGGACAGAAACAGGATGGAAGTCGTGAAGTGAAGGGTTACAAGTTTTATTCAAACGTTGGACTAGTGCAGTTTTCCAGGGGAATGTGGAATTTCGCAATGAAAAGTTGTAGATACGGTAAAGTACGGGAATAAGGGTAGGGAAGGTTGGATTTTATTAATTTTACTGGAATATTGTCGGGACCATAACCATTGGCGTGGAATTTTAGGATATTGAAAACTACTTCGTCATAGAACTCATGGGAAAACAGGAAGTTTTCATGATTGAAATTGAGGTGTTCAATGTCATGAGTTGGAGAAGGATTAGAGGCAAAAAATAAGAAATTTAAATAATAAGTAAAAGTAAAAAATGTTTTTTTTGTATTTTTTATTATTCATTGATATTTATTTACAACTGTATTATAAAAATAAAATAAAATACATCTAGTAAATGTGTACTCAGGAATTTAATAATATGAAATCGCTTGTTGAGAATGGTTCGGAAGTTTATTATGGAAGGATAGGTATCTGGATTGGGCCAAATCGGAAACATA